ATTTGTAGATAGATAGATATGCTGCTATTTGCATTCATGCAGTAAAAAGAATAATGCAGCCTGTCAGGGTTTTTTTTCTTTTCTTCTCTTCTTTTTTGCTCAAACCTTTTTTCTTTTCTTTTTTTCAACTGAATTACTCAACAATCTGAGAAGAAATGGTGAGCGAAGACGATTACGAAATGTGAATAGATGGAGTTACAGAGTGTGGACATCAACCTGCAGTCATTCTGGTCAAACTGATATTCTGCAGAGGAGGAGTGCAACACTTCCTGTTGCGACGTACCCTGTATCCTGTTTTCCACAGTCAGTGGTCATGCGTGTCATTCCCCTCTGCTCGGCTGTGCGGGCACAACCTCGTGACCCTGTGCCGTGACTCCCCTCACACTGTTCTGCGTGTTTAACATTAGATGAATGTCTCACGTTCTGTTGAGAAATGACTGAGACTTTATTCTGCGTTACTTAAAGTGGGTGGGGGCAGAAAACAATAAATATCAGCCTGGTTTCACTGAATATATCTCATGTGTACTGAAGTGTTAAATAAGCACCAGTAATAGTAGTACTGTACAGCCCGCAGACGGTGCCTCTTAAAATAAAAGCATGCAAAGATAGTGATGAGAGCACTGACACCTCCACACAGGCCCGAGACCCCAGGGGCCAAACTCTGCGACCGTGAAGTAAGAGGTGCCACTGTAACTCTGTGTTTGGCCTGTGTGGGCTTGAAACATCACAGATACAGATCTTGTGACTGTATTCAGACGACAAACTGAAGTGTTCAGTTACACCCTGTGGTGGGACCAAACCAGAAGCCTGTATACGCAGGCAGGGACACTTCACACTGCGTCACAAATATATCCCTGTTCTCAACTTTGTTATATACAGTACAACTCACTGGACAAGTTGTTATCAAAGAGTAAGAGCTAATCAGTTATAATCACATGTTGAGATCCTTAATATAAAGGATCAGTTTGACGGTTTGGGATTATTTGTTTTTCTTGTCACAAGTTGAAAAGATGTGAATATGAAGATGCAGTGAGCAGCTTGTGAGTTTATCTTAAAATAAAGCCTGGAAATAGTTCTACCTACCAGCACCTTCAAAGATGAATGATGTTGCATCTCATTTGTAAGAAATGCTCCACCGCATCACACCTCACAAAATTAAACATACAGATAAAACTAACGCAAAGTGTTTATTTGTGAGCTGTGGAAGTGCTGGTAGAAAGACGTAGACCACTCTCCAGCACCTTGAAAGATCACGCATCTCATTTGTAAGAAACTACCCACCACATAACACCCTATAAAAATACACATGCAGATAAAACAAACAAGACTTAAAATCATTTTGCGCTGTGGAAGGCCATATGTTTAAACCTGTTTCTAGTCTGTGTGATTAACTACAGTATAAACTGCCCTTATCTTCTGACTGTAGTTCACAATGTCGATCCTCTTCTTTGACTCTTGGCAAGGAGGCAAAAATCCACAAATGTCTAATTATGCTATTAAGCCGCAGCAGCAGCCCACTGTAAAACAATTCCAATGACAAGTAAAAGACCAGCTTAGAAAATGTTCTTTAAAGCAAGAATGTATAACTTTTTGGATGATCAATTGCGCATTATCCCTCTTAGAAGTAAAAATGTAAATCTCTAAGGGACAAAACAACAATAAAACTCACCTTTGTTCCTTTCAAAACACTGTGGTCTGAGCAGTACAGAAAATAATGTTAGCAAAAGAAATTTAAGGTGTTTAACCAGTTTTCTCACTCTGATCTGTATTATTGTTTAAATGTCCTACAGACAATGTTATCCCATAGCTGCACAGGATTTCAGGAAGTTTAATAGCAAAATTTGGTTCAAAGTTAAAGTACCGATGGCCATTAAATATTACTAATGCATTATAACATTATTATCTATAACAGTGTACCATACTTTACCAGATTGTGTGTATGTATATATGGAAGTACATTAGCCAAAGTGTAAAAGATATTTTTTAAATGCTTAAAGGTATTTAGGATATCAAATGGAAAGATCTTGTGACTTGTACCTGTACTGAGTTACATCTCACCACTGCTGATATATGCTTTTAGTCAGTTGTGGGCCTCTGTGGGAGCATAAATAAATGAATCATGTGACACAGATGAAAACTGAACATGGTCATTCTCACATGTTCTGTGTGGCTGTTTTTTTCATGCAATTGTTTCCACAACTATATACAGCACATAAAATCCAATATATGAAGCAAATATGGGGAATATCACTGGATTGTTGAGCCCATGGCAGGACTGTGAAAATCATGTTAAATTCTTTATAATACAATCCAATAACATTAGTCTCCGACTCAACTAACCTGAAAAAAGGTGTACCTAACAAAGTGGGTATATTTTCAATGCAAGAGATCAATAACTAGAACACACTTAAAACACATTTTGGAAAAACAAGACACGGCATGTGATCTGTCTGGGTGATGATGACTATGTTTTTTTATGATGTTGCAATCTGCCTGCAGAATGTGAAAAGAAGAGTCACAGGCTTAAACACTCTTTGGTTTCAAACCAACCAGTCACATTACTTTACATAACGTTTGATAATAAGAAATGGAAAAATAATGTTGGTGGAGAATATTTCTGTGTAATGAAACCAAAAGGTTATCTCGTGCCAACTGCACTTTCTAATATGTCTTACACAGTAATGTTTGTTATTACACTTTGGTTTTGCTTTCCCACAGACAGTGACGCAGTGAAGGGTTAACTTTGCTGCAGCACCTGGAGCTCGTAAGGATTCAGTTTGTTGTCAAAGGATATTTCAACAAACTGCATCAAGTAGGAAACATGGTTGCTCAGAGACTTGGCACTTAAATTAAAAGGTTACGGTGGAAATCCACTTTGAGTCAGAGAAACTTCAGAAGAAAACAAACACCAACAAAAAACCAACCGGCTCTTATCGAAGCCTGGATCATCCAGACCATGTGACACACCATGGATTCATTTAAAGACGAACTTCAAGGAACTGAATCTGAAAGACAAGTACCTAGTTCCTCATTTAATAATATGTCACTCTTGGTGTGCATGCACTGTATGCATGTACTTTATTTCTCAGGTCACAAGCACAACAAACAGACAGCGACTTATTCATAGAGCTCTGCGCAGAAAACCAAACTTTGAGGCATCTGAAAAGTCATTAAAAAAGGCTGAGAGAAGCAGATCAGACAGACAGAGATAAAGATGTCCGTGTGTAAAGAGGTAAAACAGACAGAGCTGAAAATAACCTGAATTAAATACAGTTTTCTTTTTCAAATTAAACAAATCCAATCCAATTTATTCAAATCATTTCTTTAGTCAATAATGATATTACCACACTAGGTAAAAGCACCATATATTTGACTGAATCATTCTTCAAGTTGCTGTAAAAGTCTTTTGTCTGAAATAAAGTGTCTAATAAAATTGTGTTATTGTACATTTGTAGTGTGTTATTGCTTAAAAGATCAGAAAAGATCGTGGACCATATATCATGATGGTGGATCACCAATCCGAGATCGTGATGGTGGATAATGGATCGTGATCATGTTGGCAGCTGTTCTTCACATGTGGCTCTTTCTGTTTTTTGTTTTTTTACCCCTGTTAATATGTTTTTGGGGAAGCTTTCTCTTACTCTTGTTGGGAGTTAATAACAGAGGACGTCGCATCTTGTTTAGCCCTATGAGACAAAGTGAGATTTGTGAAAATAGGCTATACAAATAAAATGTGACTGATTGATGTAGTTTTAGATAATAAATACGGAATTTTTCATTTCTAACCAAACAATATGCAGTGTAGAATGAAATATCATTTCTCCAGGGCAGTGGAATTATCTAAAAAATAAAGTATCTAAAAAACAAACAAATCGTCAAATTTAGTAAATAAATAGTTAAACAAAAACAATCACCAGAAGAAAATCCATTATACTTTGGCTTCACTGGAAATAGTTATGATGGAAATGGTGCCTGGTTTGCTGCAGCTGTGTATTAATACTCTTGGAAAATGCTGCTGTTTACACCGTCGGTTTTGTTCAACCAGCTGTGATTAAGATGGGGGCTGGCCACAGTCTGTGTGGTTTTAGTAACTCCACATACAGAGATTCTGATGGTCCTCCGTCAGTGAGGAAAGAGGACAGGACGACACATTGACCAAAAGTTACAACACACACAAAGATCGAATGATCTCAACCACCTGTTTTAAAGTTGAGCTGTGATAAAATCCTGTGCCTTATTACTTGTTTTTCAAAAGAGTATTTGTCAAAGTTACTACAGAGTTTTGAAGCTCTCAGCACCAAAGGAAGGAATAAACATACTGGTATTGGTAGGAGATCAAAATATCCAGAACATTTCAATATATCAGAAATATATATACATTTTTCAGCACATAACCTTATCCCAGTGCTGCAGTCATCTTTAAACATCAGGTCAAAAAATAGGTTTGTGCTACACACTTACTGGACCATGCAATGAGTCTCTCAACTTTAAAATACGCAACATCCTCAGTCTTCACAGTTGCCATGATATGTTCAGAAACTAGTAGTCAACAAATTTCACTTTTGTCTTAATAACACAAAAATAATCAGCGACATTTATTTATACCAATCACAAAAACCAAACTAAAAGGAACCATCCTTTGGTGGTTCCTTAGTTGGCTATTGGTGTTTTGCAGCAGATGGAATCAGTTCCCTAAGGAAAGGTTCAAGCAGCGTCTCCGCTTTGTGATAACCATAATCTCTATTTACCTCAGTGCAGTTGCACCACTGATACTGTACCTCCATCTTATCTTCCAGATGTGTGTGTGTGTGTGTGTGTGTGTGTGTATGTGTGTGTGTCACCATGTGCACTTTCAGTGCGTCAGTTTCAGTTGTTTGATTTACCGACACATTTAGTGAATGACGTTGTCTTTGTGGTGCACGTGAACTGTAAATGATATATCCATCTAATTAATACATGTATTTATAATGTTCTAGTCATGTAATGCTTCTTAGTGTTATTTGATATTTTGTGTAAGCTAGTGGAGTAACATGTATTGCATGTTTTAATAAACCTGCCTAAGAAAGCAGATTTTAATTCAGTTTGATGTGATCAATTGTTATAAAGGATATTGGGTAAAACTTTACTTTGACCTGCACTAACTGAGTATTTAGAACTTCTATTCGACCAGTTACTAACTGGCGTTTACATGACAATGTAGCTGTACACATATAAAATGGCATTATGTGTTTATTTATTTACAGCATGTACCCATAATGCTTTGTCTCACCACATGTTCACCAAAAAGTGAACTCTACTGGTGTGGAGACCAACACGTGAGCTAATTGAAAATAGGTTAAAAGTCTAAGACATTTTCGGGGAGAGGGGGGGGGGAATAAAAAACCCTTGGTGATGATTGGCTGCTGAGGGAGGGGACAGTAGATAGACCCTGATAAAAATGTCATGGTCTCCTCAGACAAATCATCAATGCCCAGGAAGCTTCAGCAGACACACTCGATTGCTCCCACCCACACAAATTTTACAGAAGTCAAAAGTTCCTTTTTCATTTCACAGTTAAACAGCAGGCCTCGCTTATTACATTTTATCTGACACGGCTGAAGGCCTTCGACGGTAGAGAAGGTCGACGCTGCGTGTGAGCTTTACAATAAGAGAGAGACATTTGGGGCTTTTTTCGTTGAGTGAGAGGAAATTTTGAAACATTGTGCAATGGTGCCGCAAAAGTTTTGAAAGGTTGTGAGTGTTTTGCCAGCAAAGCGTCTTAGAGTCGGTCCATTGGAGAAGAGGTCTCCATGTTGCATCCATACAGAATGGAGAGCTATCTCATCCCACCTGTAAGTATGGTTTATTTTATTTATAGGCCTTTCTATACTCTCAGGGGACTTTTAACGTCTCAGGCTTAAAGCAACGTCTGTGTTTTTTCAGGAAGATAGACATGAAAACATTTTTATATTCAAGAGGATGAACAATATTCATATTTCAGTACGGGACTTTTGTGAGTCTACTTCAGTTTGAATACAGGATACTAAGTGTGAGCCTTTTATACTGAGATCATCGTGAAAATGAAACTCAAACGTTCTTGAGAGTTTCACAACGGCAGTGGAAAGAAAAAAGAATCTCATCATTACAGCAAATGCTGTTCATGCTTCAGCTCCGTTTTAAACCATTGCTAACAATTTTCAAAATTTGGATATATTGTATAAAGTGAGACGATGTGAATATTTTTCAAAAAGACAGATACTGAGTATCAACATTTCACATAAAGGGCTGACGCGTGTCGTTTGAAGTATGTACAACAGTGAAGGATTTACCTTTTAATATTTTATGGCTGAAACTGTATAATTTAGTTTTGATTTATTTGCTCTCGCAGCATCCAGAAGAAATGTATGATCCAGAGATCTACAGACCACAAATTACGGAATATTACACTCCATATGTCCTTGATGCAGATATCCAGGCAGGTGAGTTTTACTTCAACATCCATTTTCGTCTCATTTTTCATAAATAAAATGTTCACTTGTTCATTTAATTGCTGATATTTGATTTAAAACACTGTAAAATAGAAACAAATGATAAGGATTTTGAGGGCAAACAGATAAAAACGAATCTTGCATTCAACACAGTGCTCTAATCATTTCATCAAAAGAAAACAGAGTCATTTTTTATAGCCATCTTTCTTTTTATTTTTCAAATCAACCACCATGGCCTGATGTGGTGACAGTAATTTTTCTGTTGTACTGTACATAAAAAGGCTGCAGTGCGTGCAGCTGGAGCGCCCCACATCAGGGTGGATGGAACACAGGAAACAGATGCCATTTCTTTTGGCTTCTAAAACTACATAGAACTTTCGCCCCAAGGGGTTTTTATTGATAGAAGAGAGCTGCTTTACTTTCTCTGGTAATCAACTGTTTTAAATATTGCTCCAAAACAACCTCAATGGGAAGAGTGTTACAGCATCAAACGTCCTGCTGAGGAAACTCCACTTGTAACTGTGATAAATGTATCTTGAAATCAAGATCAACAAGGCTTTATTCTTTACCAAGGATTACAATGTATTTTGAATTAGTTTCAGTGTTTACCTGCTTCTGGCTCCACTCTATTTTGGTAGTTATGCCTAAAATATTGGAAAGAAATATAAGCTTAATACATTTTCTTTTTAAATAATTAAAAACAATGAGGGAAAAAAGTCAAAGACGATAGGAAAAAGTGCAAATTCAGTCAGTTGTGGCCACAAACAGGAAAGAGCTTCATGCTGAATGGTCCATTATCCTCCATGAATTTCAGTTCAAGCAAACTCAAGCACTATGAGTTAACAGCTCAGTGTCAAGATCTGGATCACACTTTTAGACGTCTTATGACAAATATACATATTCATCAGATATATTAAATCAATTTAATCATGTCTTTTTAAGACATCATATTATGTTAAGGACAATTTCTTCCTGAGCTTTGTCTTTGAGGTATAAGTTGCAACCGACAACAAACCAGTCGTCTACCATCCTACAGCCTGTGGCCGTTTCTCACTTTTCTCACTTTAGACCAATGGGACTACCACCCTCACCCACACGTGCACCCAGCAGAATTTGAAAACCTCCAAGAAGCAAACTTCACAGAGCTGCAGAGCGTGCAGGCTCTCCACCCGCCTGGCCTCATACGTCACGACACCATAAGATATGAAGCAGAAAGCCTGCTTGATCCAAATCTTGGGGCACATGCACATGTGTTACAGCAACCGGTGAGTCCATTGGGCACCCACAAAATAAACCCAATCAACACACACACACACACACACACACACACACACACACACACACACACACACACACACATATGGATGCATTCAAACATCAACATTAATCTAGTTAAAATGCATAAAACTAAAAATAATTTACTGCAGTGTAAGTTTCTTTTTACTGATCTGGGGTCTGCTGACTGATTTGTAACCTTAAAAAATAAAATGGATCATATTCTACGAGTGACCCTGTTCCCTTCTTGTTTACAGTAAAGGTGTTTTTTCTGCAGCTTTATTGAACTGGATTAACAACATTGAGAATATTCTGTAATTTCAGACAAAACTAAATACAAATGCTGATGTGCTGATGTGCAGCACCAATGTGGAGAACTCTATCTCTGACTCCAACATCACACCCAGAATGCACTGCTGCTCAAAGTATATTACACCATCATGATTTTATGGATTACATACATTCCAAACAGATATTGCCCAGAATGCCTTGTTTTCTATAGTCTATTATTTCAATTCTGAACAGACAGAGTTCTGAGGCAAAGTAATCTTATTATTATTGAGTTCGTACATTGTGGGGTCCTCGCTCACTATTCATTTGAATATGTAAATTGCTAATCAGACTTGAGGGCCTCAGTATTCTTGGTGCTAAAGGAGAAAAGATAAAAATAACAACTCTTGGTTAAGTATTACACATACATGATGTTATATGACTGATATTCTGCAGAGTAATGTCTCTAAATCTGTAGATGTCTCTAAATGTCTCTAAATCCTTAAATCTAATTCTGATTCACAGCAAAGTGAAAACTCAGCATAATTCACAGTTGAGTGTCAAATCAGAAAGGACATTTAGAGTAAGTGGCCTTTTAGGGTCCTCTGACAAAAATCAGGAAGTGAATCTTTTGAGTTACAAGAAAATCTTTAGTTTGATTAAATTTTTTTAAATTTCAGTTTATATATATATAAATAAACAGGGTCTTGAGTCTCAACTTAGCTTGCTGAGCTTATAGAGCAGAGACGGTTTTAAACACAATTTAGAAAACAATACATCTCCAGATAGATTTACCACCTGTCGTGTCGTGCAGACCAGAAGTGCTTAAAAAGACAAAAGGCGGGACAATTTTATTTATATAGCACAATCTGACTTATGATAATAAATCTTAAAGTGCTTTACATGTATTTAAAAGAAAATGCTTAAGGGATGGGAACATGCATGTGCTTATTTTTATTTATTGTTCAATTATTCATTATTTTAAATTTTAGACAAAAGTGAAGCTGGATACATCAACACTTTCTGTATAGTATATGTAAGTACATATATAACTATATTTCCATATGTCCGGTTTCAGGGTACATAAAGAAACAAAATGAAAATATAAATAAGCTGCACAACTTATGATTTTGCTGTTTGAATCCCTCACAAGGCCACAAAGCATGTGTGCTTTTAGATCACATGACACTCTTCACATTTCACTTGTGAGCACATGGAATTTATATTTTGAAAAAAATGGCTGCTACTCTTTCAATGGAAGCAAAATGTGTTGGAGTGTGGAAAAAAGTTGCTGATGCGTCTGAATGCATGAAGCGTGATGAGAGAAAACGATGTGAAAACCACTTTTTACACGTAGGTTTTCACCACTCACTGTTATTTTGTAGTTGTTGTTATCAAGATGTTCAGCGCTGCTCAACCAGACAGCAACAAATACAGATCACACAGATCAGCTCATGCAGATTGAGCTGTGTGTTACATTCGATGTTCGGAACATTGGCCTATAATATATCAGCATCAATTTGTTCTGCAATTTAAAATAATACTATTCCCATAAAGCAACACAAAATTTACCGACAAGTGTTCTTCTTCCTCTTCTTCTTCTTAATATTAATGTGACATCATTGTCTAACTATTAAAATACCATATAGACTTGACAATGAAATACAACATATACAATATAAGTTACACTGTTATGCATTTTTTTTAATTGACATTTTATATGCTCATCAAGCTCTAAATTATATCATTTCAAATATAATATAACCACTAATGTGTAATCATATATTAAGATTTAAGACTTTTGAGAGAATGAATCCTGACCCTGTGTTGTAGGTTGCATTCTTCCCTCGGACTGTGTATCCGCCACACGTGTCCCAGCGCAGCTCTGATGACGAAGACCACGGTGGACGCAGTCCCCCGCTGGAGGTGTCTGACGAAGAGTGTCTGAGGGATCGAGTTCCTTATGTCAATCCAGGAGAGCTGGGTAGGGACCAGACTTACAGGCCATATTGTGTGTGTGTGTGTGTGTGTGTGTGTGTGTGTGGGGTGGGGTGGGGGGGTGAGCAGTTAACACTGATACTTTAAGACACACCAACTGTGCTGTCCATGTGAAGTCTCTCAGTCATCCAGGTCATGGTATATGGAGACGTGCTAAGTCACTGGACTTGTTTTATATGGTTGAATCTCAAGAAGGAGACGCAGTTCCAATTGCTGCCCTGCTCATATTGTCAACATGTGGTTGTAAAGCAACAATGCTGCATTTGTCGTCTCTCTGATTCCTCTGATACTCCTCCCACCAGGAGGTGAGATGTGTGCAGTTGTTTCGATATTTAATTACTGTGAGTGAATACTAATGGTTTCAACCATGCAAAGAACGAGAGCTGTTCTTTTCTGGGTGACAGGCCAGAGTTTGTCTTTATTGGGATGGTGGAGGTTGGGTATTGACTCATGTCAGCTTTATGTTCTGCTGACCGCTTAAGACGCAGGGATGAGTAATTTGTTGCACAACTGCTTCTACACAGCAGTGACACATCCTCAACAGAAGTGGACACAATGTTGCGTTGTGGTTTTTGTCTCCAAAGCTGGATTCTTACATTGGATTGTGGGAATAATGCAGGTTATTGGTCCGCACTGTTTGGTGTAACAAAGTTTTACGGCAGAAATGTGGCAGAAATGTGTTTCTTAGAGCAAATATCATGTCCAGCACATCAGGACTCACTGTTTCACAGACCAACGTAGTCCCTTGTGTCTTCTGTGACCCATACCTACAACTTTAAGATTTTATAAACTGAGCAGAATTTAACAAAAAACATTTACAATTGTTCATCCCTCCCCATGTCTGCTAAAAGGAATGTGACAGACTTTCATACCTTTTCAAATCGTTTAAATTCATGTGTAAATGAATTTGTGAGCAACCAAATTTATAATACATACAACTCTCTGTTGTCTCCAAAAGGAAATAAAAAGAAGATCCGTTTGTACCAGTTCCTGCTGGATCTTTTAAGGAATGGCGATATGAAGGACAGTATCTGGTGGGTGGACAGAGACAAAGGGACGTTCCAGTTTTCCTCCAAACACAAAGAGGCTCTTGCTCACCGCTGGGGAATCCAGAAGGGCAACCGAAAAAAAATGACCTACCAGAAGATGGCTCGAGCTCTGCGCAACTACGGTAAAACTGGAGAGGTGAAGAAGATAAAGAAGAAGCTCACGTACCAGTTCAGCGATGAGGTCCTGGGGAGGGGTCACCTGGAAAGAAAACCATACATGTAGGCAGAAGAGAAACGTCCGGTGGAATCATTAAAAGTTGTTTCTGGTCTTAGATGCTTAATCAACCTTGTTCTTCTGGTAAATACTGTAGCATCTTGTACAGAGGAATCATTCCCTTGAAACTACTGGGTAATGCAGCATGAATGTGGAATAGAAATATATAACAGAGACCACTCAAGTATCTCCTGTTTTGATTCCCTCATATTCACCTAAAATAGGCAAAGCCTGAACTCTGACCCCTGCCCACTACTTCCAGGTGGTGGCAGCAGGCTGCTTCGTAGAGCAGCAGTCTCCATGTGGTGGCCAAAGTTGAAACTGCAAGTCATGTGATGCTGGGGTTCAGAGGGAAGGTTTTCCATAGAGTATCTTAAAGAAATATAGAATGAACAACAGCATTAAAGAAATAAAAATAGTTACTGAGCACAAACAATAAACAATCAACTGTCTGCAAATCACAATTTAAATCATTAGCTCAGATACATATAGTCAGTCAGTCTATAATAATAATAATAAAGTGTCATTTTATTGC